TACTTCCGGGTTGCCTATGACCTCGTGCCGAAGCACTAACATATGTTGCTGGTCCGCTCTGTGGTAAATGTCAGGTATGAATCCTTTTGTGTATCCTTGTGCTCATGTGGTTATTTCGACGATGCGCATTGTCGTTCGCGCCGTTCCTAGCAGAGACCCGTTTTTTTTCGCGTTGTGGCACGGCGGAGATCTCGAAAAGTTTGGAGGGGAGTTGAGTAGGTGGCTGGACGTGCTGGCTGGGGTCGTGAGGCATACCAAACCGTTCTTGGATGATGGGGAATTGGCTCGGTCTGATGCGCGCTGGTATTCCATCTTGGGACAGTGCCCATCCACGATCGAACGGAGACTCACGGGATTCGAGTTCTCAAGCAAGGATCACTTCTCGGCCATCCACAACTCTGGGCGAGAGTGATATTTGAAGAAGAAACATTTGATGTGATCGGCCCCGCGCGCGAGAAGAACTTCAAATAAGTTCATCGTCGCTTCCGAGCCCTTGTAATTTTTGCAATGGAAGCAAGCCGTGACTAGCTCCACGGGGCTGCTAGTCGGGTAGAAGAGCCCATCGGTCCACTCAGGCAATTTTCCGTGTGTGGCCAGGCCGTCGGGGGATTTGGGGCCTTCCCATGTGTGCTTTGGATTGATTGTATTTCCGCCGCTTGCCCAAAACATTGAGCCCTGATACTCTTCGTGATTGGAGGATAAGAATAAGTTGTGCCCATTAACTGCAAGCTGCGACTATCCATGCAAAGGGAAGCCCAGCCCATTCATCCTCTTGAAAACTACGTGGGTGAGACTTGAAACCCGACGAACAGCGTTGGACGCACCAACTTGTCGATCATGCTGTGCAGCACAATTGTCTCGGGCAAATTCGGTTCCGAAAAGGACAAGCGCGGCGTTGTCAGTTGAATTCAAGGCATACAATGGCATCAAGGCGGCGTTCGGGGCGTCAAAATCTGTCAAGCGGGAATCGCACACGATCTAAGGGATTCGAAGGAGCTCAGATTGATACCTCTTGAGAACAACGTGGCGAAGAACTCGAAGTTTGTCATTCTGTGTCCGTCACTCTCGTCAATGGCCGTGACTACCCGGTCTTACTACCTGGGATTTCCAGCTGCTCCGACGATCGATTGGCCTTGGGCAAGGATAGCCGGCGAGAAAACCATTATTGTTTCCATGGATGTGCACGATCGTTCTATCGCAGGCAGGAATCTTGCAATCGATAACCTGCAGGCCAATGAGTCAGCTCCATCAGCTCAGCGGAACTTGACTCGCCTCTCACGCAAGAAGGGCGGAGGGCTGACTCCGCAGGCTGACGATGATAGCACACAGTAGTTCAAGAAGTATCTCTCTGGGAAAAGAAGCTTTTTCGCTCATTCTCCGCAACGTCTACATGTGGGTGGAGATGGGAGATGACCGATGTCTTGCTCAAATTGTGCTGGTCACGGAGATGGGACTGCTGGATTGGTAAAAATCTTCGCTTGCCGCTTTCACATCCCGCAGCCTTTCTCGACTCGATCTGGTTTTTCGACTCCGCCCGGCATAGAACGGCCTCCTATGCTACGGTCCTTGAATCCCGAAGGGAATAAAAAAGGGTTGTACAATGGCGTGTATATATAGATATTTCCCCGATGGCACCGTTCTCTGATGTTCAAAACTGATTCACGTGGCTTGAACGCAGAAGATGAGCCCCAGTAACGTGTTCGAGAATGAAGTCACAGAAGTCACAGTTGGTGTCGAGCAAGGGAAGAATGACTTTGTCTATCCAACGCGGTCATAATTCCATGCGCATCTCGTCCTAAATTTGGCCAGACTGGCTTCCGCGATCAGCCGTTTTGGGAGAGGTGCAGTTCCATTTCGTGTGCTTCTTTGTGTCAGTTCGAGGAAGGGTTTCCAAACGCAGGAATTTGTTGATGATGAGCCGATCAGACCAGAGAACCGCAACTATCCAGGAGTTAAAGACATTATCCGACCGTCTCAGCCGCGGCAAGGCTCAAAGCGCTCAAGATAAGGCCCTGACGGTCTTTGACTCCACCCAAGCAATTGTGAGCCACCGTGGCGTGTAATGGCGGACATGTGAGGAAGCACCATACTCTGAATGAAACCATGAATGGATGGATCATTACGAGTCGATGCCCTGTACTTGGTCATAGGACTCCTCTTGTTGGGATGAGATTAAGTTTGACAGCGCTTAAGACACGTCCGTGGATCGGAAGTTCGTCTGTCCACTCTCTCGTGGTGCAATATTCGCATGAACAATAGTGTCTGCGGTGGCAAAAGAGCTGGCGAGACTTGAGGACTGTGTGCGAGCGTCAATTGTCCCGTCGCGTTCTAAAACTAATGCAACGAGGGGGCAGAATCATAGGCCGAGCAGAGCGATTGCGATTTTTCTGCCTCGCTAATCTAGTGTGCCGGATGGGATCCATCTAGCAGATGCACCTCGCTTCGCTGCTGAGATTTCCCCTTTTGACAGTCTCCGTTGTTTATGCCTCGCCTTCAATCTGGACGCGAAATCGCTCACTCACGATCACCTTCCATGCAGCTCCGTGGAGGCTCAAGGGCTGATTTCCGACTGCGCGCGAGATATACAGATTGATGGACACATTCTCCAGGCTGTATAAAGGCCGCCCTCGAAATATTCAATGGACAGACTCAACCACGATCGCAGTCTTCGTTTCGTTGAGAATGCCTCTCGCCATGTTCTCTTTCCGCACCCTCCTCTCTCTCACTGCAGCAGCGCGCATGGCCTCTGGCCACATTATCGGGCCTGTTGGCTACTACTTGGAAGTGGTCAACCAGACTATCGCCCCCGACGGTGTCCCGCGCGCCGCTGTTCTGGCTGGGGGAACGTTCCCTGGTCCCCTCATCACCGGGGACATCGGCGACAACTTCCAGATCACGGTCGTCGACCAACAGCAAGACATCCGCATGCTCGAGCCCACGTCGATTGTGAGCCGCCCATCCTGCTGCTGTTTGTCTGAGTGCTGATGGCGGGGGGTCCCCGGCAGCACTGGCATGGGCTGTTCCAGAACGGGACGAGCTACATGGACGGGGTCGCGTTCGTCAGCCAGTGTCCGATTGCGCCCGGCAACTCGTTCACGTACGACTTTACTACCCAGCAAGCCGGGTGCGCACCTGTCCTCTTCGAAAACGGGACCCATCTGATTACCCGCGGGCTTGTTTCAGAACTTACTGGTATCACTCGCACCTTGCTACCCAATACTGCGATGGCTTGCGTGGCCCGATCGTCCTTTACGACCACGAGGACCCCTACCTCGACGAATACGACGTTGACAACGAGGACACGGTGATCACGCTCGCCGACTGGTACAACGTGTTTGCCGAAACGGTCGTCGGTCCTGGGTGAGTGACGCCAGAAGCACCGCTCGGACATCCCGATCAGACGCTGATGCGTCGACCCTTCAGTGTACCGTCCTCCATGCTCATCAACGGACTCGGACGCACTGCTGCCACCGTCTCGAACACGACCCTCGCCGTCATAAATGTCTTCCAAGGTCTTCGCTACCGGTTCCGTCTGATCAACATGGCCTGCGACTCCAACTACGTGTTCCAGATCGACGGCCACCAGAACCTGACGATCATCGAGGCCGACGGTGTCCTCCACGAGCCGTTGAGCGTCGACTCGATTCAGATCTTCGCAGGTGAGTGGTCTCCGAAAATCTTGCCAGCGCGAACAGCTCGCTCACTGACTATCTCAAGCCCAACGCTATTCGTTCATCCTCACTGCTGACCAGGCCATCGACAACTACTGGATTCGCGCGAACCCGAACACGGGCCCAGCTGGGTTCGCCGGCGGGATCAACTCTGCGATTCTCCGATGTGCGCCCTTGTGTTTCGTTTGCGCCGTGACCCATCTCATCCGCCCTCTTCTAGACATCGGAGCGAACGAATCCGAGCCTACGACCTCGCAGGACACGTCGGTCAACGGCCTCGTCAACGAGGTCAACCTCCACCCGCTCGTCAACCCTGGTGCCCCCGGCGGCGCTTTCATTGGTGGCGCCGATGTGCAACTCAATCTGGCTCTGGCGTTCAACACTGTGCGCCAACAGCATCCTCTGCTGTTTGAGCTCGATTGCTGACCGACACACAGACCACGCTGAAATTCATGGTCAACGGCGTGACGTTCGTTCCCCCGACCGTTCCCGTGCTGCTCCAGATTCTGTCCGGGGCCCAGGCCGCGCAGTCGCTGCTCCCCAGCGGCTCGGTGTACACGCTGCCGCACTTTGCGTCGGTCGAGATCACGCTTGCCGCGGGTGCCGTGGGTGGTCCCGTGCGTTTTCTTCTTCTTCTCGGTCTCGTGGTTGAATCGCTCATGGACCCTGGCAGCACCCGTTCCACTTGCACGGACACGTCTTTGATGTGATCCGTCCGGCCGGCAGCACCACCTACAACTATGTGAACCCCGCTCGCCGCGACGTCGTCAGCATCGGGAGCGCCGGTGACAACGTCACGATCCGGTTCTTCACCGACAACCGCGGACGTGCGTGTTGAGTCTCCGCGCATCACGCATCGGGTAACTGACGATCCAGCAGCGTGGTTTCTCCACTGCCACATCGACTGGCACCTGGAGGCGGGTTTCGCGATCGTGCTTGCGGAGGATGTGCCCGACTGGAACTCGCAGCTGATCCCGACGTCGGAGTGGAATCAGCTGTGCCCCATCTACGACGCACTCCCGGCATCGATCACTTCTCTCGCTGCTTGAACCACTGAGCCAATCGCACCGTGTTTCTGGTATCGTTTGATTCCATGATCGCGTTTCTCAGATACAGTGTAAAAGAAGTGTTGTTGTTACATATGAATGGTTCCATTTTCAAATACGTTTTGGCCCCTCGCATGGGACCGCTCTGTGACCCGGTCTGATTGCCGTCGAAGACCTTTCATGTCATCTCAGGGTTACTGTCCTCGAAGCTGCCGCGGAACGCACTCCATTTCCTGCTGCTGGCTCCGCACTTCAACCGAAAGTTGTCACCCTCAAGTAATGTACGGAACTCTCTATGTTAAATCTCTACACCATTCAGGTAGCCATGGAATGGATCGCCATCTAACAAATATGAACGTCACTTTTGAATCACTCAATTTTCACCTTATCAAGTGATTATATTGGGTATCTGGTCAGAAGCCGCTCCAAGCTTGATCTTGTATGTAACGACTGCTAGCAAAGTACCGTCCAGTTTTCAAACTGTTCCCTCCCATCCTTGATCGCAAGGATCTTCTCGTACAACGCATCGCCGACGGGCCCCAGTCCCTTGCCGTGGCTCATCGTGATATCTGTCACCTTCCCAATGTCCCGCTCGCCTTCAGAGATGCCGATCCGCTCGACGGCGACCACCAGCACGGCGGTCCCTACACCAAACGTCTCACGAAGTCTGCCCGCACGCGCGGCAGCGATGAGCTCGTCTGTCGTCAGGTCGCGCTCCTCAATTGCGAGCCGCGGGAGGGAGGCGGGGAGTGCGAGGAGACCGGCGGAGGGTGAGGCGGCGTGGGCGCGGAGGAGGGCTAGCGCGGAGTCACGCGTGATTCCGGGCAGGATGGTGCCGTTGAGCGGTGGAGTGACGACGGTAATCCCTGCGTCAGGCAACGTCTTGAACATGACGAGTGAATCAAGGAGAAACACGCACCCCCGTCCTCATCGTCGAACACCGCGAAAAAGTTCATTGAACCAGCCTCTGTGACGAGCTTCCTCTGCCCGTCGTTGAGCAACCACAAAACCTGGTTGTAACCCCTGTCCGCCGCCAGGCGCTGCGGCACGAACCCCGGTGAGTAGTTCAACCCGAGCTTGAACGCGCCGGTGCCGCCAGGCCACGAGCGCACGTGCTCGTCGACCGCGAGGAGGGACACGCCGCCCTTGCCGCCGGTAGAGAAGTACGGCCCCGCGGGCGTGACGATGACGTAGAGCATCGCGTGCTCGGAGGCGCTGACGCCTATTGATGGTTTCGTGCCGATCATCGTCGGGCGGATGTATAAGCTGTCACCGTTGCCGCGCGGGATCCACCGCGATTCGACGGTTACTAGTTTTTTGATGAGGATGAGCAGCTGGTCGGCGTCGAATATCTAGGATGAATGGCATCATTTCAATGACTGGGAGACGCAGGGGCCGCGATACGAACTGGTAAACCCATCCTTGCCGCTGAGCCAACTAGGCGGGCCATGTTTGCCTCGGGGCGGAACATCGTCGGCCGGTCTTGTGGATCGAGGAACGCCTTCATCCCCTCGAACACGTTCGTGCAATACTGCAAACAGTTGCTAGTCCGACGCGCCCAGGTCAGTCACTGCGAACTAATAGCACGAGTGACACACACCTTGACGGATCCAGTTCCAACGGTGCATAGGGCTTGATCTCTGGCGCTGACCACCCCGTCACTGGGTCGTGCGACATGACGAGCATGTGGTCTGTCTTGGCTACTCCGAACGGACCCAACGGCGGAATCTCCTTCAGCGCGGATGCAAGCGCGACTGTCAATTTAGACGCCTGGTGGACGTCAGCTGGGTCGAACGATGCTACAAGACGATGCTGCAAGAGAGATCGTCGGAAGGGAGACGCGCGTACATCGAGGGGCGCGTAAACGGGGATCATTGTTTCGCTGGTCAGTGGAGGAGGTGGAGGAGGAGAGATGGAAATGATCGACCTTGACCATCGTCAAAAAAATATGGATCGAGTCATTCCCCGGATCATGTCGATCACCGATCGGAAAACGTGCTCCGGATCAAAGGCAGGACTGTTTTTGAGCCAACGCTCGCACTTCCTGGCTCGAGACTGTCGGTCGCTGGGTATTCAACGAGGCGAGGTTCTAGGTATCCAGTTCGAGATGATAGGAGCTGTCACCAGCACATGCTGAACCATTAATTTCAGTTCGTCAGATGCAATGTACGCCATTAATTCCGAGGAAACTTGGGTAATACTTACCAAAGCAAGGCGCGGACTTCCAATACCAAGAACTGTGGTGCATTCCTAAGAACATGTCCTAGCGGCTAGTAGGCGCAGGACGGAGATTGTGCTCAAGATCCGGCTCTTCCGTGCTTACAGCAGATGCAATGGAACTCGCGCGATAACGACAACAACAATGGATGGTGCGTGAAGACCTGAACAGAATGCAGCAGTAACCAGGCGACAAAGCAAAACGACAACTGGATGCGCGAGAGACAATGTATGTGGATGGCGAGTGTTTGGGTGGGGATGTAGATGTGTGCGGTGTGATGCGAGGAGTAAGAATATGTCAGTCAATAAATAGCAGCACTGCTGTGGGGTCTCAGAGCCAGCCCGCCGCACGCAGCAGCTTTCGGACCGGTGCCGAATCGGGCTTCAGCTCTCCCAGGTTCGGCGAGAAGTACCGCCGCAGATTGTGGCCGTAAGCGTCACGGTAAACCACGCTGTAATACACATGATTCTGCATCGGGAATGGGGAGGAAAGGCAGACAATCAGCACAGCACTAGGCCAAGCAAAACGCCAAACGACGCACATCGTTCGCGCCTAACTTGGGGGCGGCGTGCGCGAATATGCGGCCCCCAATCCACTTCTCGTGGTGGCACACCCACACTGCATCGTTCGGCTGAGCAGGTTGAGCAGGGAGTACATACACAAGGCAGAGGATGGCCCCGCCAACGACTAACTGACCTGGAAGGCGTGGTTCACGGGCTGGTTCAGATGCCGCACGTGCACCGGGGCGCCGCGGCCATGCTCATGATTCATATCCGCACCGTCAGAGGCGCCGCCGCCGTCCTCGCCGGCATCTCCGTCTTCGTCGTCGTCGTCTTCGGAGCCCGAATCGGATTCCGCGTACGGCGGCACGCGGCCGCGGCTGCGGGTGGCGTATCGCAGCTTCGACGGCCCGGGGCCGGCGGAAGAACGCGGCCGCGGCGGGACGATGAACGCGGGTGCGGCGGAGGCAGCGAGGCGAGCGGAGGCACGTGTCGACATGGCAGTAGCAAGTAGTAGTAGTAGAAGCTTCCACCTACGGAGGAGCAGCAGCAGTAGTGGGTAATCGTACGTCAAGCGCGTATTCTATTATAGGGAGTTCGGGACGGGAGAAATGAAGAAGGTGATGTGGCAGGGGCGTGTGTGTGTCGCGTGTAGGAGAGAGGCGTCACGAGGCGGGAGGGAAGCCACTCGGCAGCCGACTGCTTAGTGCGGGGTTGATGGGGACGTGTCCTCCAGCTGCGAGCCCTTTTATAGGACCGTCACGGTCACACACCTTTACAGCCGCGGCCTTTGTTCGGCACGAGATCCGATCAGATTGGCTGTTGCTAGAACGTTCCTTGCTTGCGGCTGTCTGGCTTTGTTCTTGGTGCCTTTTGTGTGAGAGCGGTAATTGTATTTACGGAACAGTTCCTTTCTCTCTCCCTCGGCGCGTAACGCCGTTTGCCACCCACTCAGAAAAGGTCAAAGCGGAATTGATCGATGCAGGAGGATATCTAATCTATCGCTTCGCGGCTACCGATCAGCACGATCATCAGCATAGATCCCTGCGATTGGGCTGTTCACCGAACAGCAACGCCCGTTCGTGGAATCGCAAGCGCCGTTGACAAGCTCTGGCTGTTATCTTGCACTCATCTGCGGCGCTGGTCCCGTTCTGTGGCTGGTCAGTCCCTTTGCAATGAGGTCTCGGCGTGGGCTTCCCTCGGAAAAACTGAGAGAACGTGTGACGCGTTTACGTACGTCCGGCCAACTTTGCCGAGCGGGAACTGCCCGTAAATGACCGGTGCATGTATTCTCTGGTATCTACCGCCGACCACCGCTGCGGGAAGCTGTGTTGTGAGCAGCGCCCATCGGACGACAATGATCTCATCAATCAATCACACATCATCGATGGGTGATGGCGATGATTGACCGCCGCCGTCAGGTCTCGACAGTCTCAGACTGGAATGACCCTGTCTGTATCTCGACTACACAATACCCTGTCCTCAACCATGTCTCACCCATCCGCCGCATATTTACCAACCCCCGATCCCGTTTTCCATCCTGCACATCCCACCTGCTGTCACCTTAGACTCCCACCATGGCCAGCGCCTATCGCGACGAATCGACCGAACAACTAAACACTACTCACCCACCTCTGTCGCGACATCAGATCTGCGCTGATGGCGGTCTAGACCGCACTACGTCATTGATGGAGGGACTTGAAATTCACAAACGAAGCGGGTTTTCAGTGCAAAAGATAAAATAGGTATTTACGATGGCTGGCTCGAGCCCAGTGTATTATTAGTGTATCTCCGTGCTGCTTTCCCACCATTTTGTCCCCACACAGTCTTTCTCACGCGCCCTGTTTCGTGAGAATGCCGAATGTCTTGAACGAAATGGGTAACATCGCGGCCAAGCTTTCGTCGTTTCACATTGCGCAAGAGTATCTTCGACTCGGACAGCTGCGAGAGCTGTCCTTCTAGGATATCCGCTCCACGACGCAGGTCCTGGATAAGTTTACGGGTATGGTCTTCGAGCTCATCCGACTATTCATGGTGTCAACATCAAGTATGACCCATAAACTTCACGACTCACATCATCAAAGTCTTCATCCGGATGAACGGCCGACTGAGAACGTGTCGGCGAAGACGAAGCGGCGACTGGATTATCTTCGCTGTCAGTTAGCTGTCTCTCAGCGGACTCATCGGTCTGAGTGTTGCTGAAGTTGCGTTTCCGGGATTGCTCACTGACAGCGAGCTCTTTGGCCTGAGGCAGGTAAAACTGTTCAGGTGTGAGGTCGCCAGCGAGACGCGAGGGAAAAAAGTGAGAATCGTCGACGGAAGAACCATCTTTTGGCTTTAGAAGCGCGTGATGATAGAACGGAGTGACCCGCCTCCGATAAACTTCGCGGAAAAATCTGGGGTCAGGAGATTCAACGGATTGAACGAGATGTTTGCATAAGAGGAATGCATTGTACTTCTGCTGCCCGCAAGTGCAAGTCCACGTCGAAATGTCCGTGGTGTATGAGTCAGCATTAGAGTCCAGTTCACGGCGAGAAAGCTTCGCCCATTCAGATTTGAAAGCGGACTGCCACGGTGCAAGCTTCTTCGATCGGCCGAGTCGCCAATTTGGATCGAATTTGAGCATACTTGCTTCGAAAGTTGGAACGACATCGGTCACAATAAGATAAACGAGTTGATCCAGCCGAGGATGGAGGAAATGGTGTAGAGTTCCGTGCTTCAAGTTCTTCCAGAAATTCTCCACGGACATTGTGGTACGCCAGCGACCAATGAAATTCGGCTGGCTCGAACGTGCCCAAAGCCTCCATTTTGCTGGACAATACCACGCTTCCCACATATAGCCCCAAACTTCGCGTAGACCGCGCTGCTTGCAGAAAGTGTACATCTCGAAGACACAGTCGCGTCGGATTTGATCTTTGTTGCGTCGTTCTCCGTGACGTTCCGGTAGCAGAGGATGCAGGCAGCCATGTCGGATGAAAGTATGGAGGAGCTGCGATCGGTGCGGCGGACGGCAGAACTCGTAGTCGTCGCTGACACGGAAGCTGGTTCCGATTGGTTTCTCGCCGGGCTCTATCCAGGACGGCTCTGCTTCTGCTTGATTGACCATGTGAGCATTCTCTCGAATGAGATGCTCAGCATACTCCTCTTCTTCGTCTACGACATCCACGATATCCGATTCTTCCAGGCTGTCCAGGCTGCCGAGAAACTCGCGGAGCTTTCCGTCAACTTGGATGACTATTTTCGGTAGTTTGGGAGCCGTGGAGATAGCGGATCCATTCAGGCGGACCTTCAACATCGGCAGCATGACTTGAGCGACCTGAAGATTCTCCTAAGGGCAGGTTAGAAAGCACATATTCAATTTAATAAGAGAATGCATACAGGGGTCCGCTTAGCTGGATCCATCTGAGCAAGAGGCACAAAGTCTCTGTCGATGAAGTCGAATTCTTGAAATGCTTCTTCAGCATGATAGAATGCCGGTGGGCGCCCGATTACGGACAAACGACCGCGGACGGCCCTGATCCCATGCCAGAAGCAAAGCTGATGCTTGATGTCGTCAGGCAGTTCAGCAAGAAACGCATTGATCTCGGTGATGTCTTTATCGCTGAGGGATTGGATGGGAGTAATCTTCCACTTCGATGTGATGTCCCGGATGAGAGAGCGAATATATTTCTCCTTTTCACCGGGGCTAGGATTGTTTGATTGAATCAGGAGAAACCCGAGTGGGAGACCCGATCCATAGACTTCTCCCAGTAGCGCAAAGCACTCATAGCCTGCCTTGTTTGTTTTAACTGCCAGAGTAAAATGAAACTTGCTTGGCAAAATTGATCCGGCACTTACAGGTCGAGTCGAGTGCGACCTCAACAATTGCACCACCCCACCGGCGAATAAGTGATGGCAATGCAAAGCCAAATGCGGTGTATCCATCGTTGTCTTCGGGAAAGACAATGGGTTCGACATAGCCCTCTTTTGAATTACGCAGCGCTTCGAGCAACATCTTGGCTGATTTAACCTCGTTGTCATCCAATCGCCACTTCGAATTGGTCTTCAGTAACCAACGATTATAAATCTGCTGTCGAGTGAACATCGGTTGTGGATAGACAGCAAGAATCTTCTTCCAGATCTGGTACGAAATGAGAAGCTTGCATGGGAATAGATAAAGGAACGCACCTCGGTGACTCGGAGCTCCAAGTTACCATCTACGAGCTGCTTAACATCTTCCGGAAGATCAATGCACTTGTACTTCAGGTGCAGATCATTGTGGGCGTAGCGAATGAAATATTGATCTTGATTTTCTGCAGCCCAGATCGTTAGATAGCCCTCACAGTCGAAGGTGTCCATCTGGCCCTTGTCCCGTTGCTTCTTCATATCACCGATCTTCTTCGGCTTATGCTGACGAGATGCAAGCTGTGCACAGTGGTATATAAAGCGTGTTGTTTGACGGTCTTTAGTAGTTGTTGATCTCAGATATCTAAACGGAAATAAGACCTCCTCTACGCGCTATAATAAGACATACTCACGTGAAGCGATAATCTGTTCTTTCCCACACATAGGCCGCAATTTGATCTACTACAGGCTTGAATGCCAACTCCCCATCTTTTGCTTCGCGCAAGTCCGGACTGTCGACTACGGAGGAAACATTGACAAGAGCGCAAAGGTGATGTACGTCCGTAGTGCCATTGGAAAGCGCGTCGAGAAATGCCACCAGAGGAATGGCTTCTACATCTGTCAATGAGGTAAGATCTTGTGTCCGGTGACACGAGAAGCGCTCACTGATGAAGTCTGACGCGTCTTCTGTGTTGTCATTCTCACTGTCCGCGGCTTTGGCGGTGCCTCGCTTCTCCGCCGCCCGCCTTGCATCCTTCTCGCAACAGGACCGACAACGAGTATTGATCACAACGCCTCCGGCTCCAAATTGGGCTCCCCAGTGCTTTGAAGTTCTTGGAAACGTGTGTTTGCACTTGGTGCATCTTTGCGCGCTCATTTTCTGTTGTTTGACGCGTAAATGAGAAGGCTGGAAGACGCGAGAGGGCGGAGCACGTGCTCCCGCCGTTTTCACGATGCGCGCATCAACAATCCAATAATCTACAATCTCTTATCTACACAAATCAATGACGTAGTGCGGTCTAGACCGCCATCAGCGCAGATCTGATGTCGCGACAGAGGTGGGTGAGTAGTGTTTAGTGACCGAACAACTGCTTCCGCACCACTTCCCCAAGGCGCTGCTCTCCGCGCCGACCGACCGGCACCAGCGCACCCCGTGTCGCTATTGGCTGCCCTTCGTCGGCGCTCTCACGCTCCTCGGCATGTTCTCCGGTGCGGTGTACCTCCCAGCCAAGCATCCGCACCACCACGCCGGGGCCGGGAATTGTACCAGTGCGGCAGTGCAAGACACAGAAGTGCTACTGCCCCCGCTCGAACCACTCTCGCCTGTCACCGCGACGGCGCTGACACCAGAGCTCGCGACGGCGCACCAGCAAGTCGACATCCTCTTCTCCCGGCAGTCGACGACGCTCAGCCAGGCCGCGGCGCGCCACGCACTGAAAACGGGACGCGCGCCTCCCGCGGGGTACGAGCGGTGGTGGAATCTCACGCAGACGCAGTCAGAGAAATGTTTGGTGGACGAATACGAGCAGGTGTACAAGGACTTTGAGCCGTTTTATCAGCTGGCTGCAGCGGATCCGGGGAGGTTTGCGCGACTTGTGGAACGGGGCCGGGAACTGGTGAGTCCAGTACGGATGGTGTGTGAAGCGGGTGTCTCACTTTGCGTCGCAGACGCGGCAGGATGCACGCGGGATGGTCACGGTCAAGATCGATCGGAGGGAGGTGGTGATACCCAACTACAGCGGGACCGGATTTAGTGCGGAGCTGAAGGGAATAGTAGACAAGGTAGGTCTCGTGCCACCCGTATCGTCGGCTCAGGCTCACCGCTGCCCGCGACACAGTTCGCGCATGTGCTCCCAGATATGGAGTTCCTCCTCAACAGCCGTGACGAGCCGAGGGTCGTGTTCGACGTCCAGGAGCTGGGCGCACAGCAGAACGCCATGCGTATGAAAGACCCGCTACCGTTCCGCATCGCACCGGTGCCCACGTCCGAATTTTTCCGCACGCAGCCCGGGTGCCAAGTCTTGAAAACACCGACGGGCTTCGTGAGCGATCCGGTCGATAGCGTGGCATGTGAGTTTCATCTCAAAATTTTGTTTACATTGGGTTCGCTGATTGACGCTCGCGCAGTCTTGCGCTCGAGCACGAGCTCCGACTTCACAACTGATTTATGGCCAGTCCTGAGTGTGGGCAAGATTTCGCCGTGTTTCTCTGACATTCTATTCCCTGGAATTTACTACTACACGCGGTCGCGGTGGGCCGGTAATTACAGTCATTCAAACAACATCTCCTGGGTCAACAAGGAGTCCAGGATCTGTGCGTATTTTTACCTTCACGCACTGAATTGAGAACTCACTCTTCTCAAACAGACTGGCGCGGCAGCTCCACCGGAGGACACATCTACGGCACCAACTACCAGTCATTCCCGCGTTTCCGGCTGATCGACATCGCGCGCACGGAAAACAACTCGCACCTCATCGACGCGAAGCTCACTGCGTTCGTCGACGCGCAGTGCGCAGCCCGCAGTTGCAACCGAGATGCGATTGTCTCCAAGTATGACATCCACGGGCCCCGCGCGCCGCGTGAGGATGTGTACCGGCACAAGTACGCCCTCGACGTCGATGGGAACAGCTACAGCGGGAGGTATCTCGGACTGTTGCGGAGCGGGAGCTTAGTTTTCAAGGTACGTCCGCTCGTTCCCAGACACTGTCACGCCCTCTGAACCAGATGTGCGCGCCCAGTCCACCGCGTTCGAGGAGTACTTCTCCGGCTGGCTGCGGCCTTACGAGCACTACATCCCGGTGCGGCCCGACCTCTCCGACCTCGTGGACAAGATCGCGTGGGCCCAGACGCACGACGCCGAGGCGAGGGCGATCCAGGCGAACGGCCAGGTCTTCGCTGAACGGGTTATGACCGATGCGCAGAACGACTGCTACTTCGCCGCGGTGCTGCTCGAGTGGAGCAGGCTGCTGGAGATCGCGCGGAATGCGACGGGCGTGGCGATGAATGGGACCGGCGGCGGGCTCAAGGAGAGTGGTATGGGGGAGAATGCGACGAAAAGCACGACCTTGGGGGCGTGAGGTGATTTGTGCTACAATGATCGAATGTATTTGTACGTGCGTGACCCGGTTGAACACTAGAAATGAGAATCCCGTATGGCATCAGTTTCTGCACAGTTGCACGTGGAGGTTGGATCGCCCGGTCATTCTGATTCACGGAATTGCTCGAACTCGGAACTTGTCAAGTTGGGAGACTCCGCTGCAACTGATGCTCGGCCGGCTTCAAGCTTTATGGACAGATGGTACCGCTGTATTTCGCAGATAGGACCTCCTAATCATTGGTTCGAATTTTCGATATTTGTTAGAGGACATGGGGCTGAAGAAACTTCTCTGTCTGCTTGATATCTCTCAAGTTTGATGTCTCTCCAGTCCTTTTACGCAGAATCAAAAAAAGGAGTTTGTCGTCCGTACCGAACCGGATGGAAGGTTGTTCAATTTGAAATCTCGATTGATTCCCGGCATCAAAAGAAGCACCTGATCAAATACATAATATATTCAGCTACCCCTGAATCACAATGGGCGCGTCCTGGAATAGTGCGCGCGAAGTACGTGTGCACTGCGCCGTAACCGGACTTGGAGCTGAATCCATGAATCGCGGCGGGATATATGCGCCTGCATTAGTCCTCAGTCAACGCTCCAGCGTTTCACGCCTCCGATCTAGCCGCCTCGTCTCAGAGTATAGCAGCAGCAGCAGGAAAAAACAGCCGCTCGTCTTCGCTGCGCACAAGCGAGCTGATGCGGAGCACCGGGAGCGCGACGGGGCCCGAGAGTGGCGTGATGCACGATCTCAGCTCGGCGACGGTCTCGTTTTGCGCGGTTGTGATCTACGGGAGTTGGTGTGTGAGTCCTGGACCGAGCGGACGGAAGGAGGAAGGAGGGGGTGGAGAGTGGACTGAAACACGCACCGACCACGTCTCGGCGGAGTTAGAGTACCGCACAGTGTACTCTTCGCCTTCGGACCAGCGCCAGAGACGAGTGCGCGGGGACCACAGCATCAGTGGACTGGCTGGAGGGACCAGAACTTCGCGCAGACGTACCTGGAGAAACTTCCCTTGCGCTTGAGCTGCTGACCTCTGCGATCTTGCCGCCAATCTTGAACGACTTGCGCGTCCCAGTCGATCACGGCGCATATCGTCCCGACGCGGTTCTCGACGCACGTCCATGTCGTGGTACGTCTCGATCCCGTACCGCCGCGAGCTGTCGCCGACGTTGCGCACGACAGATTTAAGCACGTCCTCCGTGTCGAAGTTGAGCTCGAGCATTTGAGGGAGCGGGGCTGGACGGCATTGGGGGCGTGCCGCAGCTACTTAGGAGGGAGAGAGAAGGACGTAGTAGGGGTAAGCAGGCACCGCTAGGCGCTGTTGGCGGAGTGTACAAAGAGTGCCTGGGCGGCGTGGCATGGTTTAACCGCCATCAATTGCCGACCGAAAGCCGGCCGGCCGCCGCGATTATCTCGTTTCTTACGCAGTCAAATTCTCTGGTCCAGCTAAGTTTATGAGTCTGGTTAACCAGTCAAAGATTGAAGCTGACTCTCGGTGTTCTGGTGGAAGGAGAAGATTGGTGGGCGGCGCTCTCTCGCGTACACACTGGACGCTCACTCGATCCTGACACGACACAGTTCGAACTGGAAGGCAACCATGTAGCGAAAGAAGGGAACATATAAGGAGAGTGTGATCTAGAATGAATATATGTATCCCAAGGCGAGCTATCGCAATCTGCGAATAGTGAAGCATGAGAAACCCGGCAAAGGACCAAGCTTGGATGGACTTACTAGAGAGAACATAATAGATATTACGAAGGGAATGGAATGAGGTGTCTTCCAAGGCAGAGGCGTGGATATTCAAGCCTCTCTGTCGAGACGCCTCGCTTCGGAGTAGAGCATAATGAGGAGGAGGAACAGGCGCTCGTCTTCGGTCCGCACGAGGGGGCTGAGGCGGACCACAGGGAACTTGGTAGTTGAAAACGATACGATGCAGGATCGGAGCTCTGCCAGAGTGGTATTGTCGCTGTCCACACCTACAAAGAGACGTGAAAATGAACTCAGTTGAAATGAGCACTGGGGAGGAGAACACGCACCGACCACGTTTCCGTGGAGTTGCTGTACCGCACCGCGTACTCCTCGTGACTGTCTAGCCACCGCCAGTGTCTTACGCTGCGCGCGCCAGGCCTCCCTCAGTCACCCACGCCGATTGCCGTCTGAAACACAGACCAGAAACGCACCTGGAAAACGCCCCACCCTTGCGTTTCATCATGCTCACGAACGCCAGCTTTGCCGCCGATCTTGAACGACTTGGTCTGCAGTCGATCACCGCGCAGATCGTGCCGACGCGGTTTTCGATGCACGTCTCGAGGTCGTGGTAGTCTTGATTCCGTAGCGCCGCGAGTGGTCGTCCGGGTTCCGTATCACGGACTTGAGGACGTTGTCGCCGTCAAAGTGGTACTCGTGCATCTGCATCTCTGGGTAAGAAAAAGTTTCGAGGGGGGGGGTGAGGAGGAGGGAAAGCAGTAGGTAGAACGCCGGTTGTGTGCGGAAAGCCGGCTTGGGCGGGGTCACGGTTCTGCCGCCATCAATGGTCGTCTGGTTCCATCATCCATTTGAAATCGACGAGGAACAGATTAGATGGTCGCTTGATCGGGGCCGAGATAAAGTTCCCCTCAACCAGAGGAATATTCATCTTTTGCTAAGAGAAGACCGAGAGACCCCATCAACGACGTCAGTAATTCCATACTACATATACGTGTCTTATGGAAACATTTCAACGCCGGTCCATGCGGAGATTTTCTGCAACTCAGGAGCATCAAGATTTGTTGATCCGAGCCTCGGATATTATTGACATCCTACATAAGCATTGCATGGGGCTCTCGCCTCATTATCTGTTTCATGTGTCAGTGCAGAGAGTGGGGAGTGGGGAGCCGGGATAGCTCCTCAAGCTTCTTGATGCGCCTAAAAGATCTGGAGGGAGATTTGAACGGCCAAAAATGAACGCAAACGAAGAACGTGATTTCTCTTACATGTGATTTAGAATTTGCACTTCCTTGCTCACTCGCTGTCCGCTGAACGAAAGGTCTGACCTTCCCAAGACCATGCTACAGAAAGCTGGTATTTGGGCCAAGACTTCTCAGCGAGTTCACCGATACTCACTGCCCAAGGCGACTGCACGTGAGGCACAAGTTCAAGTGTCCTTCTGACCCTCACGTACAAATCTCACGCAGTGCTTCCAAGCTGTACAGAGTGGCGGGCAGAAGATCAGCGCAATAGAAATCTGCCGCATGGAAAAAGTGGTCGACTGAGAGCTAAGATGAGACACACGCAGTAATTACAACCTGCATACAGTGGTATGCAGCAGTGTGGAAAGCCGTCGATCTAGCCGAGATCAGCGATCGGATCAGTGCGTGGAGCTTAGTGACAAGCACGGCGGGCGCGCCTTTCAGTTTCACACACACACGCACGTCAAGCCCGGCCGCGGAAAACGATCGTCTCATCTTCTGTGTCTTCGCGTTACGGTTCTGATGTGTGTTGCCTGGTCATATACCCCGTCGCTGCGTCCCGTGCGAGCGCCCCACACTGGTCCCCTCCTGTCCTTTCTGTGCCTCCCTCCCTCCCTGCCCCTCCTCTCCCTCCGCCCACGACTTGTTACGCTCGACACGAGGTGCATGACCCCCGGTGACGACACACAACCATACCCAAGCTCTGAAGAAAAAACGCGGAGAATCCGTTTCGGATCCGGTCTGAGAGAGGCTGATGATTCATCGCAGGTGTGTGCTCCCTGCGTTGTGCTGGGACGCCTGGGTCACACCGTTCAGACAGAATCGATCCACACTGTCTGCGTCTTCCGCATCGACATCGTCCACTTTGGCCTCCTCTTCCTCATCATCGTTGTCCTCGTCAGCGCTATCCGCGCCTACGCCATCGCCCACGTCGCTTAGCGCCCGTCCCGAGTCGTCCTCTGCACGTGCTACCTCAGCTTCCGCATCCCTGGGTCAGGTTCGGCCAGAAGCGGTAGCTTACGTTCTGGGAGTTCCTCGGGGCGTCGGCAGTCTCCCTGAGCTCCTTGTGTCGTCTTCCTCTGCATCGCAATCGAAGAGCTCTGTACGCGCTTCTTCAGTTATGTCAGTTCTGCGTCCAGCGTCAGTCCCAGTCGCGTCGGTTGTGGTCCGGTCGAGCATAGGTAAGTCGACCATGCCTTTTGTGTCTAGGACGAAAATCTGACTGCGAGCTAGCTCCTCCGCTGCAAACAGACCGTCCGCATCTGTAGCCTCATCCAGACTTTCACATTCACGTCTACACTC